AGTCGAGTACCTCAGCTACAGCAGCACTAGAGAGTTAGTTTGTGCTCGCACGCGAAACAGTGAGGTTCGAGTCCGGAGTGCCCTGCCAAGTGTCCTGCTGCCAGCCGCCTGTCGCCGCACTGTATAAGGTAAGCACCCACCGCCAAAGTGATCGAGGGTAGGTCGTATTATTTTTATTGTTATTAAGCGTTTACTCGACTACCTGGATGCGTTATAGGGATAAGGGAGTTAGTTGACGGGATTGTTAGGATATTAAAAGCGCGGGAGAACAACCGTTGCCGACCAGACAAAGAGGGACTACGTTGTGCTACGGGCAGGTCGCCAGGAATGATGTCCTTTTCTTTTAAAGGTTGCCTGACATCTGCTCCGGTCTGACGTGTCCTTCGGTTGATGAGACGAGAGTTCGTAGTTTTCTTCATCAATATTAAAATTGCCAGGATTGCCGAGCAGGCAGAAAGGGACTACGCTGTGCTACGGGTAGGTCGCCAGGAATGATGTCCTTTTTCTTTTAAAGGTTGTCTGACATCTGCTCCGGCTCAGTGTACCTCTCGGGGAAAGCTAATTACGGGCTAATAATTAATTCATCTTCTTAAGGAACAGTCAGGGTAGTTCAGTAAACGCACGGGTCGAAAATGTTCACGGAGCTAAAACAGGACTTCGCCCAATCCCGAGGCTGGTTTTGTAGCTCCTGTATTGTATAGGTGTGTCGTCCGGACGACACCCTGCATCAGTGACGCTGGACGGGATCTCGCCGAAATCCCGAGGTTGTCCTGACCGGGCGGTGTGTGTGCGGACTGGGCTTATACAAACGACGTACAACTCGCCGAGATGTCGCTAACGTCTACGTCGATCCAGGGCTCACGTTTGTGTATCCCTCGGGCCGCTGTTAACTTTGGGATCGATCCAGGACTCGCGTTTGCGTATCCAACAGGACGCTGATAACTTCGCGATCGATCCAGGACTCGCGTTTGCGTATCCCACAGGACGCTGTTAACTTCACGATCGATCCAGGACTCGCGTTTGTGTATCCCACGGGACGCTGTTAACTTCGCGATCGATCCAGGGCTCGCGTTTGTGTCCCACAGGACGCTGTTAATTTCGCGATCGATCCAGGACTCGCGTTTGCGTATACCACAGGACGCTGTTAACTTCGCGATCGATCCAGAACTCGCGTTTGTGTATCCCACGGGACGCTGTTAACTTCGCGATCGATCCAGGGCTCGCGTTTGTGTCCCACAGGACGCTGTTAATTTCGCGATCGATCCAGGACTCGCGTTTGTGTATTCCGGGACGCTTTTAACTTCGACGCCGATCCGAGGTCCGTGTTTCGTTGTCAAAACGGACGCCGTTCCGAGAAATATTTAGCTGTGACCATCGGGACGCCTGTAACGACGTCGCCGCCGTTTAGAGAGTCGCGTCATAGTAGAGTGTGTTGCTCCCGTACTTACGTGTCTGTGTTCATTAGGACGCCGCTAAATTCAACGTCGATCAGGAACTCGCGTCATCTTATTTAATAGAACGTCATTTTGGGAACGCGTTTTGAATTCGCGTGATAGAATCAGTCAGAGAGTTGCATCTCGGGAATAATCGATCAAAACTCTAGAGGTATACGGTTGTTATTGTAAACTTTACTTTACGGGTCTTTAGATATACATTTTATTTCACTGTTGTTACGATTCGAGGACGTGAACCTTCCTGAATTATTTTTGTACATAATTAATTAGTTAAATAAAAGCCTAGTGTTACGTTATAGTTAATTGTGTGTTTTATTTTTTTTTTCATCTCATCACTCCCTGGTATCTCCACTGTATAAAAGCTACCCGTATTGGCACTAGTGTTCTCTCAAACACTTTAAACATTGGGATGGTGCCCGAGGAACTGAACCAAGGCAACTCGGCGTCCGTGACCTTTCTCTAAAACGGGGGACAGTCACAAGTTTAAGAGCGATCACTAATCATCAATTTGAAGTAGAGGTGTGTAAATCAAGACATGAAATTTCTCGCGGAATTCATTAACCCGGTGGAAATGAAAGATACCCTCGCATAACTGATAAGTACTTCTAATTCTTGTCTAGATTATACGGGCAATTATAAATAAGAACCTTTATTCTTTCCCAAAGTTAAAAATGCATAGGCGCTAAGTCCGGCGGCCTCGGCGGCCAACGGCTGGGATCTTGGTTAGGTCTATTCAATTATTCTCGAAATTAGCTGCAAACATTCAAGCGGCAGATCATCAATAAGGGGTCCAAAGCCTACTAGTTAAAAATGGCAAACTTTTAAAAATTCTGTATTTCGAAAGGGATTATAACAAAAGATCAATTATGCTATGTTTTTGGAAAGATAATTTTAAGTTCTTTAAAAAAACTTTCACTTCACTGTAAATATGTCTACTACCAAACAAAATAAAGAAGCTTAACTACCTATTGCAAACAAATAACAAAGAACCCATACTATTGAAGGTAGAATACAGGCTTTAAAGCAAAAATACATTTAGTTGATAAAAAAACTTGTTTATTTGAACGTTGCGTCTGGCTGTGTAATTAATAAAACGACACAGATTGGAAATTAACAATATTATTTATATGAAAGCAAATATTTTTGTTCGATACTCGTTCCGTTTATTAGCAAACTTTAATTATTGCTATTGGGGCAATATCCATTACGAATGGACGATTTGCCAGATCGGCAATTATCGATATTTGCAATCGGTTTGAATAAAATTGTACGAAAAATTGATAGTGACGCACGTAGAACAGAGAAAAAAAAGCACTGTATTATCGTAAAAAAATACACAGTTAAGTTGGCCGTAAAATCGTATCTTGATTGCTTTTATGTTCTATAGTTTACGTTTATACTTTCCCAAATTTTCATACCGTTTTAGAAAAAATAAAAAAAACACATAAAAATATGGTGGATTTTAATTAAAAGGCAATGGTGATATAATTTAGATTTCATTCTTTGATAAGTGGTTATTATTAATTTTGATTAACGTCATATTTTTTGCTGTTGTTAAAGTATCACATTTATAATATAACTATTATCACCCTTTCTGTAGCATTAAACTAAATAAATGTTGTGCTTCTTTGACATTTTAAAACAGCAAAAAATATGACTCTAATTAAAATTCTATCAACAACAGTCTATCAATGAATAAAGACAAAATTATATTACCATACCCATATAACACACAATATCCGCAGGATATTCATAGAATGTCGGAATGTCCCATTATAAGATCATCTTATAAAGACATCTATAGGATATTCTCCAGACATCCTGAAATCCTGTAGATGTCTCAGAATAGAATATCCTATGGATATCTTTATCGTTTATCTAATGTACAGCTGGTTCCAATAAAATTGAATACGATTTAAAACATATTTTTATTAGTTCGGGCAGTATATTCTATGATACCAGTCCCCCATTTCTCTACTCATGTCATGCTGACGTTCTGAAAAATTTATTTGCCACTTTGTCAAAAGCAAAGTTGTTTTATACAATGTCACAATAACCTTAACATGTCAAAATACTTGACACATAAATATACACTGCCCAAATATTCGAAAAAAATGTGTAAAGAGTCATATTCATTTTTTTGGAACCAGCTGTACATCCAGCTGAGATATCCAAACATGCTCATGATAATAAAATATCCTAACAATATCGTCTAGATATTTAGGAAAAATAAATAATGTACAACTTTTTATATTACATAAAATGCAATAAACCATACAGATAGATATATTATATATTACTGCGTCATATATTGCGTCAAGGCAACAAAATATCCTGTTGGTATCTTCTGGATAATCTGGATATTTATGAGCTTGGCCACTCCCAGTAATACAGAGAATTTAAAACGCCCGGCCCGCGCAAAAAATTTCCCACAATCCATCTCGACAGTTGTTTGTTTTTGATGGTTTTTGCATTATATATATATTATTCAGTTCTTTGATTTAGTGAAATTCGAGGTGAATTCGGTCATTTGTCGATATTGGATGGGCTTAAAAATGACTGAAGCTAACAAAACTGGTTGAGTTTGACTTAGTTTTTTTCTTATACTCATAGTTCTAGCCTTGTTCTAGCAGAAATTCTATCCTAACCTCAACTAAAATCGAAAAACGACGAACGACTCAGGGCCTCACAATGAAGAATTTGTGTCAAAATTATACGTGAAAATTTGTTGAAAAGCGCTTGTTCTTTATCCCTAAACCCATTTTCGTGTTTGATCTATTCAAACAGAAATCCTATTTTGGGGTTTAAATTGTGAGTTTCTGGAATGTATGGTGTTAGCAATTATACCTGTATCCTGTGTGCTAACTTTGATGTAAACTGTTGCTGCTAGACATAAACTGCTAGACTCCATAAAGGGTAGTATAATCTGGTATAATACCATACGATCGAAAAAAACGGCGTCAGAGGTGGCTTGGAAATGAAGATTGTTGTTATTTTGTACGTAAAATTATATGGGGAATGTCATCGATCGTAATTTTCAAGCCAACTGAACGCCGTTTTTTTTCGATGGTACAGTATAAATTAAAAGCTCTTAACTCATACAAATAAACTTCTAAATTTTGACCCAAAATTCATTGACATAATATGTAGGTATATTTTAGAGCTGTTAATAAAAATATCCAATGAATAACGTCAAAATGTGGCTAAATAAAACTAAATCAAAAAGTAAAAGGCTTGCCTAGGGATGTCTTGAAGATGACTTTTTTTGTCCCATCTGGATATCCCATAAATATCCTCCTCTGGTTTTCGGATATCCCTAAGATATTTACTATATCCTTGGTGAATATCCTCAAGATATCTATAGGATTGTGTTGTGTTATATGGGTAGTTTTAATTTTTGTCTAACTTGATACCTACACGTGTTCTCAATTTTTGTTGCGTGACGAGTTTGTGCCACCCTCAAAATATTAAACCACACACTGTTCTTTTTCATTGTAAGATACAGCAAATGTTAATTTATAAAAAAAATAAAAGATCTATACTTACCAATAACGTACATAGTCCCCGTCTTCTGTTTCATGAAGAAGTTGGGCGCATCCGACGTAACTTCGCATTTGTACTTGCCGCTGACTTCCGGCTGGACGTTCCTCAAAACCACCTCGTTGGGGGTGCTCTTGCTCAACTGTAACAAGTCAAGGACAGGCGCTGATTAGATTGATATCGGCTGAGGGACCGTAGCGCGTCGCCGGGCATTTAATTGAGAAAGATGGCCGGCTTGTGTGACAAGGCAGGGCGAGGCGATAAGGGAGGTTCAAAGGGAAGTTGAGATAATGCTTAGAGCTAATTAGTGTTTGTTTTGGTTCAACGATTTGAAGTATTTTACTGAAACATATAATAAGAATTAAAGAGGTCTATATAAATATATTTCCTATCAATGTAACTTTTAGTTACGTAATCGAGGGCGCGATTTTTAAACTCATTGTTGCCAACCATGGATATATTCGGTGCCGTGCTGTCTAACTGGAATTTAAATTTCGCGCTGGGGATTTAGGTGGTAGCTCTGCTATAAAAAATGTCAAGTTGCCACATTTATTTATTTATTTCCTGAAATTGTCATTCGTTTTGACACTTTAGTTTTGTATTACGAGTTTTTGGGTTAAATAAATAGTTTTGTGATACTTTAAGCTTGAAAATGTTTACTAGCAGACCTTGGAGTCCAGCATTGTTCTTTTTAGAACCTCTTTTAGTGCGAAGTGTACAAGATTAATTAGATTAATAGCGTAAAAAACTCACCGCAACTTTATTAGAATAATTTGAACGGTAGAGCGGTAGTAATGGCCCTTTATGTCCCTTAAATGCTGTTAAGAAGGTAAGTTTTGTTGATATAAATAATAAATGTTTATATATTTAATTTATAATTAATTTATTTTTGTTTCCGGCAACGCTGCGCCGCTCAAGCTTAATCACATGACTAAAAGTTTGTTTGGTATTAACTGTATGTAGTTTATTAATCAACTAGGTGTGTGATTAATAGTATGAAGTATAATACAAAAATTTTTCAATAAATTTTTCAATAGACGTATTTCTGGATCGAAATATACCTACTACCATTAAAATATTTGCACTTAAGATTCACCCTGTATGAATAAATATCATCACCATTTTGAACTTATTCAACTATTTCCAATTATGATTATATTTAGATGCTCTCTTTGTAGTTGGGCCCATTTACTGTCTATTGTTGGCTATGTGCGGGTTCAAGTTATCTGCTAATTTTCTAATATGGTCCCATCTCAGGTTTGGTACTTTTTGTGGTTCATCTGTTGTCCGTTCTTCTTGCCAGGTGTCCTGTCCATTACTATTTGATGGATTTGACTCTATGGATGACATCTATTACTTGGGTTTTTTGTCGTATCTACTCTATTATTTTACAGTCTGTCTTAATTATTCCTAGAATATTTCGCTCCATTGAGCGTTGTGGGACCTGCAGTTTCCTTATGATGTCCATTTTAAGTGTGCAGGTTTCGCATGCATAGGCCATGACTGATAATATACATTGGTCGAATGTTTTCTTCTTTAGATAGAGTGGCATTCTAGATTTAAATATGATTGAGTTTCGTCCATAATTACTCCTTGCTAACTTAATTCTTCTGTTGATTTCTGGTAGTAGAAATTCCGAGCTGCGTATTAGTTGTCCCAAATATATATATTCTTCTACTATTATTATTAGGACAATGTCACAGCTAATATTAGATTCTCCATCTATTTTTAATCCCTTGTTGGTCCAGTCGAGTTCATTGAAGATTTCTTCTAGTGTTGCTGTCAACAGCTTTGGGGATATCGCGTCTCCCTGTCGTACTCCTTTGCCAGTTGGTAGCTCTGAGGATGTTTTATGTATCATTACTCTTGCTTTGGCTTCTTTGTATACAGGGTGCTACAAATTCCAGGTACGAGCATTGGTAACTCACTAATCGTAATAGATACGAACATGGTTAAATTGGGGCAAAGTTGCGCTTTGGGATGTTCACCAAGATGCCATCAAAACAGTTTTTAAAATTTCAAGGATTGTTGAGTTTTTTGGAAAAAACGGATATTTTTGAAAATCAATTTTATTTTTTCCTGTCGTTATTTTTTAGGAAATCAACAAACTAATTGCACATTCTCATAGCCACTTTATTGATCTGATAGTATTTTTAGATTTTCAATTCAGCTGATAATTTGTAAGATACAGAGGCCAACTTATTTTTTTTAAATACGGACCTGCATTTTTTATTACAGATTTTGAAAGGACTCGCTATCCTGAGTACAATGATATGCCACACTTAATATTTTTTTTTTGTTTTGGAAATTTGAACACAATTTATTTAAACTAATTTCAAGTCCGGCTCTGTTTTTTTTAATATTTAATATATTCATCGTTACAATAAGCTTTCAAACTTAGCAGGGACGTGGGTTGAATCCGGAAAATCAAATGCAATAAAATAATAAAAAATAATATCAATAAAATGTAATATAAACAATCAAATCATTTCCCCGGAAGATGGATTGGAAATGGTAGAGCAGTATAATGGCCAGCGAGGTACCTGGACCCTCTGATGACCTCAAATAATTCGACAGGTTCAAATTTTACAAGTAATTTTTAGTATAATAGCCACTAGTAGATATAAAATGCATTTTTAGTAAACTCTGTCTCACATAGTTTCTGAAAAATAAAATATTTTTTTTAAAAGGTCCGATTAAATTTATATCTCCGAAACTAAAGTTCCAAAAAAAGTCGTAATATATCTACAAATTCATTTACCCACTAGTAGATATAAAAGCATTTTTGCTAAACTCTGTCTCAAATAGTTTCTGAAAAATAAAATTATTTTTTTTAAAAGGTCCGATTAAATTTATTCCGAAACTACAGTTCCAAAAAAAGTCGTAATATATCTACAAATTAATTTACCCACTAAAATTTTACAAGTAAGCATTCGAAAATATCAGAAGATCTATTCAAAAGCTATAAATAAAATTGAACGAAAAATAAATTTGTGCAATAGGGAGGGTGGTAACCCTTTCGAACATGTAGACTATGTAAAGCATTAGAAACTAGTTTGTAGAAGCTTAATTTATTCATAGTAACTACGATTAATATTATGCGAATTATTAGATATCGTACACTGAGAATTTCAAATTCACAATAAGAAAAGTTAAAAATAATATCTTTAAATTGCTGATCTGGATATTATTTATTTGAATCTTTCAATTGGCTCAAGCGCAAAGTGCAAACAGCACAATATTTAGAAAACCGGTTAAAAGTTCATAAGTATGACAAAAAAAAATAAAACTGCTCTGACTAAACATGAAAGCACGACAAATCACAAAATGAATTATCAGGAGACCAAAATTTTAGCCACTGAATACAACAAGCATAAAAGAGAATTTTTGGAAATGATCTATATTAAAAAAGAACCTGAATCTATGAATGATAGAACTGACATAAAAAACTTGAATCAAGTGTATTTTAGTTTGTTAAATTAATTTGTTTATTGTTTTCTCCCTGTTTTATATAAAAAAAAATCATGTATATATAAGAAGTAATATTTTGGAAACCATAAAAAGAATAGTGTTTTTACAGTTTATTGGCCAATGAAATATAAATTAGGTTTAGTGCGATTTCAGCCGTAGTCAATATACATACGTGGATCGTTTTGGTCTTACGAATAATCATTTAAAAAAAAAATATGTAGCCATCCTCTGACAAGTTGATATTAGTTTTATTAATTATAGTAAACATTATGCTGTGTGTGTTTGTGAATTTGTTCTATGTAATTTTTGGATTATGTTCGGCACTGTTTTTTTGATTTTGGTGAGTGTTGTAAGATTTTATTTTTAACTTTCAATAGCGGGTAAATAAGTATGAAAAAAAAAATAATAATTTTTGTAAATAATTATTGTGTTTATTACATAAACTTTGTCACACTTAGCTACTTAAGGTTTTTTATACATAAACTACTTGACTCTTAATTTTACTATGTATTCGTGATTTGTATAAATAATGTGTTTCTCAAAAAAAAAAAAAATTTAAAAAAAAATAAGTTCGCCTCTATATCTCACAAATTATCAGCTAATTTGAAAATCTAAAAATACTATCAGATAGCTCTAATAAAGTGGCTATGAGAATGAGCAATTAGTTTTTTGATTTTCTAAAAAGTAACGACAGGAAAAAATAAAATTAGTTTTCAAAAAAATCCGTTTTTTCCAAAAAACTCAGCAATCCTTGAAATTTTTAAAAAATCTTAAAAAAAATAATGGCATCTTGGTGAACAGCCCAAGGCGCAACTTTGCTCCAATTTAACTATCTTCGTATCTATTACGGTTTCCGAGATACCAATGCTCGTACCTCGAATTTGTAGCACCCTGTATATATATATATATATATATAAAGGATATTATATTCACAATTAATTTGCTTGTTTACAAACTAAATTTAAACCGTAAATACAGTTTTGTAACAAAATTCCATGTTTTCTTCCTTTCAACTTTTTTTTCTACACTGTTTTATCTGACAAGTAAAACGTTATGTGTAGACGGAGCTTAGACGGACGACCGTCTTGAGAACCGCACCCCCCTCTATTTTCTAGACGGTCTTCCGTTTTACATGGCACGCAAAACTGTCAGGTAAACTTTATGGTGTAGACGAGACCTTAGACGAACGCTTTAACAAGCACGTTTTTTTTTTATAAAAACCCCTCATTATTACGATAATTTATGTTGTTTTCGGGATAAGTACGTCGCGCGCCGGTTTGAAAAAGATACTTTGGCATAGTTTTTCAGCAAAACTAAAAAAAGAGTGGAAACATAGCGTATAGAAGAAAAAGTTAAAACGATAGGAAAATCTTTCGTTTCAGCGGTTCGTTCGGCTTGTTTATTCGCAAAAGTAACAAAGCTCTCTTTTAAAAAAGTTTTGTGTTTGAAGAATTTCCCGTCGGATAGCTAGTTCTTTGCGAATTTATGAGACTTTAGTGGGTAATAAATAAGAGAGAAAAAAATCGTTTTAAAGTATTCAAAAGGCGTACTATTACAAACGGTATAAAATATGCATAGTCTCTAAAGAATTTTTTCCGTTTTGTTTTATTAAAAGTTTACTATAATATTGGATAATCAGCTTTCATTTTGTTGGCGAAGAATAATTAGATG